TCAAACAAGAAGGAATCTGACGGCCGGATCGACGCAGTTCCTAAAAACATTTCGTGTCATTTTAGTTTTGTCTCCATCCAGGGAGACAACATGCGTTCATCGGGTCCGTCCTCCATCTGTACATGACAGATGTTTTAATTCCTCGGTGAGGCTTCAGACGTGCGGTTTATTCACGACTCGGCCTTTTCTTATTCTGAGGGAAAACAGCACCGTTACAGCGACGACGGCTTCAAATACCGTCGACTCTCTGTGGATCTCCATGAGTGTCTCAGAGACCTGTTGACCCCTGCGCTCACTCACCGTATCCATCACAACCTGAACTATGGACTTCAGCCATCCCACCAGACCCGTTGAGGTGCCTCACAAATCCGTCCCTTCCTGTTGAACTTTTTCACATTTAAACATGTTACAACCACAACCTACAGTGTGTTCAAGTCAGGTTTTGCATAAGAGGCAAAACCTGTAAAGTAGTGCATAATGGTAAAATGTCACAAAAGTGCTTTTGTTACTGCTGGTGGGAACGAAGAAGGACACTACAGGAAGTAACAGGAGGAGCATGTTCTTTCAATGAATAATGAATGAACATATTCATGTGTTCTTATTTCATGGAAACACAAGAGTGGCAAAACTGTGTTATTTTCAACACAAGTGGAATCTGGGCAAAGTTTTGCACACATTTGTAACTGAAACACAGCTACTGATCTCTGTGCTTGCAGGTTGTCTGCAGTCAGTCATTCTGATGGAACAAACAGGACGTATCACACTTCTTCTCATTTGAGCCTGTGGAGTACTCTTGTGAAATTTCCACATAAATATTCTACTAATCCCTCGTATTCAACAACCTGTTGGACCTTTAATTTCTTCCCCATTGGTAGGTTATGTAACTATACTCAGGGAACAGACTGATTACGGCGAATGCTGAACAGAGAATTAATTTTTTTTTAAAAAGGCCTTCGAGGTTTTTATTAGCGATCTAATGACAGACGCAGATACAGGAGAGCTCAAACTGGAAGCCAGCATGCCGCTCAGCATGCCTGGTTCTTCATCTGTGCCTCCGAGCCTCATTTCACACTGAGCACAAAATAATGACTGGGAAATCTTGTGACTGAGAAAAAGGGGACAAATCTGCTGTCCAGAGCACAGGAACTATGGTAATACATTTATCTCCCATTTCAAATAGACTCTGTGTTTGAGATGGACCCTCTATTCCACAGGGAATTTAATTTTTTTTTTTTTTTAAATAAATGTTTCACTCCTTAGAGAAAAGATGCTGTAGCTTTGGTTGCTGCGTTTCCATTAAAAATATGTGCAAAACTTTGTCAATATTCCACTAATGTAAAAAAAAAAAAGAAAAAAGAAGTAATTTTCCAAATGTATTGTTTTCATTAAACAAAATTAAAATCCCATGTGAAAAAGTTTGTTCAGAAGTCATTGAAAAACATGGTGCTCTGTCATCCTCATACCACTTCCTGTTGTCTTCTTTGTTATTTCTTCCAGTAGCAACATCCGGTTCTTGATGTGAAAACATTTTTCCATTTGAATTTTGCAAAACATGGTCAAATGGGCTGAACTTAAGTAGAGCTTCTTCAATCATTTTGACCATTCAAAGCTCTTTACAATGGAGTCACATTCACACACAAAACAGGCAGATTGACAGGGTTAGGTGTGGCAGGAGGAAGCTGGAATCAAACCAACAACCTTCCGATGACTACTCTACCCACAGAGCCACAGTTGCACAAAGTCACATTGAAATACATAAATTTTGATACGACTGAAAAAACAAAATCCTTGCACTAAAACTTAACGAAAAACATGAGCCTTTTTCTAAATTGCTACATTTCCAATAAGGGAATTTATTTTCAGAATTCCAAATGGCACAGTTATATCGTCATTGGAACCACAGCAAGAGTGAAAGTGGCTCTAGCTGAATCTGTACCGGCGGGGTTCTGCTCCTGACCTCGTTGACCTCGCTCTCCTGTTTTTCTTTTTTCTTTTTCATTCCAGGAAATGTCCGCATGTGCCCTCAGCCAGACACTTCCCAAAATATGAATATTCCAACAAGTTTTACCTAGAAACAACAGCGGATCCGCCTTCACCGCGCTGAACGCTTGTCCCCGTCAAGTGTTGCCGGGTGAACGAGGAGGACGGGCCGCCGGGCCACTTCCTGTTTCCTTCAGCACCTACTGCCCCCTCTGAGGGCAGATACTTCTTATGTCCTGTTAAATATCTCCAGCTGGATTTTAAATTCTTATTATCAGCTCAGACAATCAGAATTAGGTCCCTTCACTTTCAGAAAACAACAAGTTGGTGACCAAGAAAGAAAAAAAAAAAGATGTCACAAGGCATCATACAAGAGTTAAAAAAAAAAAAGAGTTTTTCTAGGCGTAACACGATCAATGCTCTGAGTGAAGCAGCTTTCGTTTACAACCCGCTCACACCGCGTGTTTGTGGCGGGGAACAGCGGAGCGTGAACACACGTGAACACGCTTCACCGGCTGTGAAGAAGCAAACAGGTCAGGTTTCAGACGCTGAGCTCCACTCAGCCTGCCCGGAGCCAGGGCCGCAACCAGGAAGCTTTCAAAGGGGCCGCCCTAGAGGGGGTCACTCACAGAGAACAAAAAGAGAAAAAAAAAAAAAAAAACTATTTTAAAGAGGCAGTGTTATGTGTTTTCCAGCCATGTAGGCCCATTTTATAGCACAATCAAGAAGCTATGTTAACTCATTACATGTCAAACATGATTTTGTAAATTTGACTTTGTAATTTAATTCCTTGAAATTGGGCCGCAGTCTTTTTAAAAACTGCTGCTCTTTCTGATACTCTGTCTTCAGGAAGTCATCACAACATGGCTCCTCTGATAACGCAACGTTTTTACCAGCAATTCACTGAGAAGTAGCTCAGCACATAATGAGCTCAGCAGATGTACAGTTCTATCAGGTGTTTGCTAATTGCTACTAGTTAGTCTGAAGGAGCCGAGTGGGGGAGTCAAGAGGAAGGAGTGCTTTCAGTGGAGGAGCTGGACCTGAAGGCAGCACTGGGTTCATTCACCCAGGCGTTATGCACAGCTGAATGGTTGCCATGGGAGATTAAAGTATTTCTCAAACATGCATGAAAGAATCAAGACAACACTTATATCATAAATGACCTGCATTTGTCATGCGCTTTAACAAGTCAGAGAACTCCAAAGCACATTAAACTGCAGTCATTGACCCGGTGCTGGGTTGATGAGTCAAAAATTGCATCGAATCCAAATTCAATCTGAGTTATAGTACAATGGGATCAGAGTGGAACCGGTAAGTAAGAGCGGCCATCTTGCTATGGCTAAGAGTGCAGACCCAAAAAACATAAAATAATTGGTTAAGGAGTTCTTTCTGGTGGCTGATATTTCCCCCAAAAAATAAATAAATTAATTAAAATATATACAGTGGTTACAACAGATCCCAGGAACAACATCAGACATCTCAGTCCAGAAATGTGCAGTCCTTGGCACAGCCAAGATACTGCAGGACCCTCAAGCTCCCAGGCCTCTGGTAGAGGACCCGAGCTCAGAGGATAAGAACCACCCGCGGTGGGTGAGAAGGGAATTTATATATATATATATATATATATATATATATATATATATATATATATAATTACAGTATATTTTTTATAAATATCTCAATAACATAGATGCCATTCCACTTTTTTCTTTTTTTTTTAAAAAAAAGAAGCCAAACAAATATGTAACTTCAGAACAGAGTTGTTGTTTTTTTCTTTCTTTTATAAACTGTCACTAGAAGGCATAATATAATCATCACATATAAATCCATGCAGAATTTCAGTGCCTCAATGAAAATAAATAACTAATTTAACCAAAAACAGTTACCAAGTGTAAATAAAAATATTTGAGGTTCAACAGAACATTCGCTTTTCATTTTTTTCATTAACTCAAACATTAATTGAAAAAAAAATATATTTTTTTATCATTCATAATGGCCAAAAGTGCACATTATAAGCTTGTCTGCTAGCCTGCTGCTAAAGATCTAGCACAAGTGGCTAGTGGCATAGCTTCCTCTATGTTTCTGATTAGCAATAAACCTGGTGCAGTCATAACAGACCAGGGCCGGTCCAAGACTCCATGGGGCCCTAAGCCAAATGTTTTTTTGGGGCCCTTTAGTTCTGCTAACATTGTGGACCAGCTGCAATCAGCAGACCAATCATTAGATCAATCATACACCCTCTATAAACTTACTGCATCTGTGCTGATATTTACATAAAACATGTATAATAAGACACATTTATCGGCCAACTGATTTATCAACTGGTCGATTTCTGGTCACTGATTTTCTTAATTTTGGGGGATCGTGATTGGCCGTTACTGACATGTGAAGCTCATCTTATGCCCTGATCTTATCTTCGTCGGCAAAGGTTGATAACCAGCCTCTGTCATCTTCTGCTCTGCAGTGAGAGCTTTGACTGACAGACAGACCCAGCAGCTCAGGTCTGCATGTTTACAGTTAACAACATTCACTGAGTGTTGCCAACTCAGCCACTTAGTAATAATCTATCAATAAATGAATAAGTAACTGTTGCACATCGGTGAAGCTTTTTTCCGCCCTTTCTTAAATCCACATTAAAATAATAAACTCTACACGGGACTATCTTTCTGCTCAGAACAGGGGGCCCAGCTAATTAAGAGGCAATTACATCAGAGCCATGATGTGACGCCACTGCCGCTGCCTGCGGGCTGAATTCAGAGGAGCTGTCCGTTCAGCACCACATCCTCCCTGGATGGAGGGAGAAACAAAAAGTTCAGATTCTGCTCCGTCAACGGATCTCTCGGTCCTTTGCTTTCACTGTTCCACTGCAACTGGTTTGAACGTCTGATGCGTTCAAACCCGAGGCTGCAACATGTTGCTCGCAAAAAAACACACACACACACACACACACACACACACACACACACACACACACACACACACACACACACACACACACACACACGCGCGCGCAGACTTACCTATGGTGGTGATGACCGTGATGGCAAAGTAAAAAGAGCCCGCAAATTTCCACTGCACCCCGGCCCGGTGCGGCTCGGCCTCCATGATGATGCTCTCCAGCTTGCGGTAATCGTCCTCGCTGATGTTGTACTTCCCCTGCAGCCGCTTCTCCTCGGCCTCCAGCTGCTCCTTCTCGCGCATCTCGAACTCGGACTCCAGGGCGTCGAACACGGCGGCCCCCACCAGCAGGTACGTGAACGTGCAGACGATGAGCGACAGGGTCCGCACGTTTTGCCGCTTCATGGCCGACAGGAAGCGGCGGCCGAGGGTCTCATGTCCCCTCGGGTGACCCGGCAAGGCGCAGCAGGCGTAGGGGAAGCCGCGTGGGCAGCGCCCGCCGTGGGGACGGGGGGCGCCGAAGTCCCCCGCCTTGTAGTGGTCCCGGTGGCAGAGCCCCTGATCCTGCTCCTGGTTCGCGGAGAGACACAGCAGACTGCTGGATCGCCTGGACCAAGAGCCCTGGAGACGAGAGACCCTGCGCAAGACCTGCCCGAACCAAGTCCTGCCGGTGCGCAGTGCCATCAACAAGCTGCTTTTCTCGGATCGCCTGTTGGTCGCTCTGTCCTCCCGCAACAAGCTTTGTGGATCCTTAAAAACGTGTCCAACTAAAAAAATAAATCAACAAATAAAAAGAAAAAACAGCGCTGAAATTTGTTTCTATTTCCTTTTGTTTTTTCCGTGTTTCCTCTCTTGCTGAGTCTGTGATCTGAATAAAAATGTCTTAAAACTTGGCATTTTTTCCCCTCTTGGCTTTAAGTTGTTGTTTTCTTTACCCTGAACGCAACACGTTCCCCCTAACCATTCTCCCCGCTGCTGAGGGGACGGGGTGGGGGGATCAGTTGACTCTGCATGAAATCCTCGAATCTTCCCCTCTTCCAGAGAGCATCCTCATCCTCATCCTCATCCCAAATGTGCTGACTCCTCCAAACGACGCGAGTCGCTCTCAGCCCGGAGGAGAGCAGCAAGTGGAGAAAATGTTCAAATGGAGATTTTCATGGAGTGGAAACAAAAAATAAATAAATAAAATAAATAAAGATCAGACGTACAGATGAGTTTATTGCGATTCTTTTTAACCATATACTTTTTTTTTGTAGAAGAGGAGAAAGAGAGAAAAAACCCCACAAAAAACCCCGAACTGAACAACAGGTTCCGCGCTGACCAGCTTCCTCGGTGTCGAGTTTCAGGACGCGCTCAGGCTGCAATTGAAGAGAAAAGTACTCTCCAGGTTCGGAGTTGCGCGTTCGGCGCCCGCGGTGCCGCTCATCCTCTGTTGCGCACATCCAGCAGGACTGCGCGCCTCGGCGAGAGGTTCAGGGGAAAGAGGACAGAAAAGTAAAAGGAAACGAAAACGAAAAGAAATAAATTATAATAATAATATAAAAAAATGGCTTTGGTTATCCTGACGCCTCACGAGCTGCTCACATTTTCACGCTCAGAGCTCCACATCTGATCGGTGGGCGTCGCTCCTCCCGTCTGTGTTTCTGTTTCGAGTGTCACGATTCACCTCAGGTCTGAGCAGCTCTGGGCTGCAGTGTATGTGTGTGTGTGTGTGTGTGTGTGTGTGTGTGTGTGTGTGTGTGTGTGTGTGTGTGTGTGTGTTTGCGTGATTTAATTTTCTTCTTTCCCCAGTGGACGCGCGTGACCCCTCCCACAGGGATGGAGGGTCACTTGGGTTTAATTGGTCTCGCGCGCTTTTGCGATTCCGCAGGTGAAGATCCTGGAAGCGCGCGCAGCCCGGGGCGCTGTCCACGGTGCTGGACACGGTGCTGTCCACGGTACTGTCCACGGTGCTGTCCACGGTGCTGCCCGGCGGTGTTTGGGTCACTCGCCTTAACCTCGACTGGATTTAAAATCAAATAAAAAAACGATACAAAAATAAATTAATTAATTAAAATTTTTAAAAAATTAGTAGATTTTCTGGGATTGAAAGTTTTTAAGTTTCTCTGAAAACTTGGAACTTGAGTAGAACATTTTAAGTTTTCAAGGTCAGATGTTACTGGCTCATTCTAACCACCTTCAGTGAAAAAAAATGTTTTCTCTGCATTTTAAGGTCATTTTCCCAGAAGTTACTGAATGGTCCTGTTTGGACCTTCAGGAGATTTTCTGCACCAAACAAGTTGATTTACCCAAAATCCAGTCAGATTTTACAGAATTTTTTTTTTTTTTTTCATTTCCATGGACCTAAAGAAGAATACTTTCACAAAGATGAATCTCATTTTCTGAAAATGTACCGCTTGTACTCCCTGAAGTTTCAGGGAAGATTTTCCAAAACTTTCTCTCATTTTCCGAGAGCTGAGCAGAACAGTTTCACTACAGGCTGCTTTTCTGCAACTTTCCTCAAACTTCACATGTTCTTCGTTAGGTTTTTTTTCAGGGATTTTCCTAAAATGAACAGAGAAGTGTGTGTGTGTGTGTGTGTGTGTGTGTGTGTGTGTGTATGTGTGTGTGTGTGTGGGTGTGTGTGTGTGCGTGTCTAAACCTCAACTTTGTGCTTCTGCAGAATTTTTTCAGAACACGGGATGCTTTTTGGAAACTCTCTTGGATGAGAGAGGAACTTTCAATCAATCAATCAATCAATCAATCAATCAATCAATCAATCAATCAATCAATCAATCAATCAATCAATCAATCAATCAATCAAATTTATAAAAAATCCTTCCTACCAAAAGCAGCTCAAATGCTTTCAGAACCAACTTACTGGGAACTTAAATCTTACTTTTCACCAAACTTTCTGATACTTTCCTGTAACTTACAGGTTCCTTTATGAACTTTATTGCATAGTTATTATTACTCTTTCAGAAATCTTCTAGTATTTTTTTCACTTTTCGTTGTCGTTTCTGGAACTTAAAGGGGGACTTTTACAAATTAAAACGATACTTTCTGCTTCTCTAAGAATCAAAGGAATCCCCAGAACTTTACAGTGTTGTAACTTACAAACTATGAATGGAATTGTGCAACACAACTGTGACTTTACAGGTGGAAAATGTTTGGACGTGATCTCATCGCCAACATTGATGGAAAATTGATGATAATATTGCACATTGTGGATGGTTTCATGTTCCTAAATCTCCTATTAGGGGTTGAAGCAGCAGCTTCATAATGGACGGAGCAGAAAGCTGTTTAAACAAGCATTAAGTCTGATGATACTGTGGATAATAAATCATTCATTTTTTATGCAAATAAAGATTAAGAGATGGCATGGAGAGCTGCAGGACACCTGCTGGACGGAGACCGCCTTCAGCAGGTGAAGACTGAATCAACAGAGTTTATCTTCATTGTTATTAGAGAAGAAGAACTTAAAAAAATAAATGACTGAATATTTGGATTGAAATAATATAGTATATTATGGAAAGCAGGGCAGCATGTTGGTCAATCAAGTTTTGTTTCATGTTTCAGAAACGAGGCCGTTTGAAAAGCTTCACATCACAACACCATAAACCCATCAACCCTGTCAATGACTGTAGAACCCAGTGACACACATTGCATTTTGTTGATTGCCATCTTTAAAACAATCAAAGCAAAAAGCACATTGATAGAATAAAATGATCGGCTTGAGACAAAGTGGGGAAATTCTAAACAATTTTCAGTGGAATTTGGATTTTTCTGACACAAAAAGAACAAAAAAAAACAGGAAAAGAATTGAGGATGGAAACTTACGTCACCATTTGGCAACTTTCTCAGTCTTGAGTCTTGAATGTGAGATCAAACGTCGTCTGCTTTTAAATCTTCAACGCCTTTCACAAGAGTTTTATACAGTAACTTCCACCATCCTCCTGTGATGCCAGTGATTTGGGCAAAAAGCAAACAGTTTCCATAGATGCTCCTCCTAACTGCTCACTTTGTTCGCTGGAGGTTTTTATCGCCGAGCCGCTTTGATTTTTTGTGGCACAAGTTCAACATTCCCAGGGTTTTTGGTCCGGCTGGAAGTTTCTGCACATCCATGGTGAGGATTTTCCCAAAGGTCCTGAACTGGAATGAGATCCGTGGCTCTGGAGGCTGTCGCAGTAAAAACTGAAACCTGAGTGAAGTTGGACCCCCACCTTCTTCAAATCAGAAAAAATTGGTGTTGAACGTTCGTGCAGCAAAAAGTTTTGTTTATGCCGCTACCATTTTGAAGATATCCAGAAATGCTTCCAGAGGTCATGAAAGGTCAAATCCTCCTCTCCCCCCCCACACACCATCTTCTTCAAATCTATGTTTGGACCATGTTTGTGCTACGTTTGTGCTGCGTTAGCTTTCAATATATTAATGAAAGTTTAACGGTCTAAAGGTCAAATAGCCTTCACACTTTTACTAAATGAAAATGACCTTTAGACTTTCATTAATATCGTCAAAGTCAAAGCAGCACAAACAACAATTTTTGCTGCACAAAACAGCACATCGTGGTCGAGTTCATTGACACAGATTTTGTCTGATTTGAAGAAAGTGTGTGTGTGTGTGTGTGTGTGTGTGTGTGTGTGTGTGTGTGTGTGTGTGTGTGTGTGTGTGTGAAGGGGGAGAGGAGAGCTGGTTGACCTTTCATAACCTCTAGAAATATCAATAGCTTTAAAACGGAAGCAGCACAAACAAAACTTTTTGCTGCACAAACGTAGCACAAACATTTGACATCAATTCTGCTTGATTCGATCTGTTTGGGGTCAAGGTGAAACTGAACGCATTTCTATGTTCAAGAAAACAATTTGAGAGAATTTGAGGTTTTCTGATTTGGCTCAAAGCTCTGAGAGGATCGGCTCCACTCTGGTTATTAAGAGGGATGACAGTCGTTCGACGGCTCAACGCGCATCAATGCGACGTCTGTCACACCGTGAAGATGAATAAATCTGTCCTTTTCCGCAAAACTCTGAACGCAATATCTGAACGTTGAAACTGAAATCAAGACTCAACAGAGCAGGAAACGTCGTTCCCACATATCATCGTCCGTTTTGGTTAGTTTGTATAAAAAGTAGCGTCTTACTCGCTATCTACTTGTACAAGTTTCTGTTGAATTGTGCAACACAACTGTGACTTTACAGGTGGAAAATGTTTGGACGTGATCTCATCGCCAACATGGAACGTTGATGATAATATTGCACATTGTGCATGGTTTCATGTTCCTAAATCTCCTGTTATGGTTTGAAGCAGCAGCTTCATAATGGACGGAGCAGAAAGCTGTTTAAACAAGCATTAAGTCTGATCATACTGTGGATAATAAATCATTCATTTTTCATGCAAATAAAGATTAAGAGATGGCATGGAGAGCTGCAGGACACCTGCTGGACGGAGACTGCCTTCAGCAGGTGAAGACTGAATCAACAGAGTTTATCTTCATTGTTATTAGAGAAGAAGAACTTAAAAAAATAAAAACTGTTGGGAATATTTGAAACTACTCATTTGTAACTTAGGGACCATTTACATATTTATGTGCTTCATTTAATTCAGAAATACTTTCTTCAAATAGAAATGAAATGTTGTTGTCCTCGTTGACGTCATGTTGGTCAGCTATGCTAATCCGCCTCGTTTGCTTTTGCCACTCCTCTATTAATCCCTTAAAGGGACGGAGCAGGAGGTGCATTTTCCAGGCACATGGTGTCATTTTATAACATTATCAAGTTACTAGGTCACCTTCAGTTGTTATAAAAATGCTGTATTCATCAAACACAACTTAAAATAACCTTTACTTTACAGTTTGATGACTAGAAATTGGGCCTCTGTCTCTTTAAGAAGCTCTGCCTTCAGCGGCGTTGATAACTGCCATTTATAACTCATCTTAGGAGCATTGGGTTGAAAAGCAGTTTGCATAATGAGGTCGGCAGATGTGCTGACTGCTGCTGCTAGTCTGGAGGAGCCGAGTGACGGAAAACGCAAATAATAATAAATGCCAAAACTTTCTGTTCTAGTAGAAAGTTTTGATATTGACCTGACTGATTTACTGTCTAATAATAATATTTATATTATTACAACAGCATTACTGTATTTATGCTAGTAGCATCTTCTGTTACCAGAATGAGGAAAGCTCTGCTGGAACACAGTGAACTGAACGACCCGATCAGGAAGCGCAGCAGCTTTTATGAAATTGTGCTTCACTAAATGTTCTGTTTCCTTTTTCTTTATCAGCGCTGCTAATGCACCGACGTCCTTCCTTTTTCCAGAACTCCATCAAAGCCATTAAAGATTTGTTTTCTTTCGTCCTCCTCTTTCTCCTCTTCCGACATCTTATCAACGTCCGGGTTGCAATAAAGAGGCGGCGGTTGGCCATCAACACGGCTGACGTCTGTTTCTTGTTCCGGTCGGAAGCTCCCACCTCCAGGACTCCTGGTGTATTTCTGCTCAGACAGCAAAGTTTAATAATGGCAACTGATCAGGTTCGTCTCCATGGTAATGGCGCTGAACAGTACATCAGGACACAGAGATTGCGATGTGAACTGCTTTAACATCTGGTCTGATGGTGGAGGGTTCAACAGTCGATTTAAGGTTTTGATGTGAAATGAAGTTTTAAAACAATAATATTGATCAGAGACAGGAAAGGATTTAAA